TTGTATATATATATATATACATATATCGTATATATATATATACATATATCGTATGTATATATATATATATATACATACGACAACAGGAGCACTGATTTTTTTTTCTCCAGCAGTTTGCAAATTTTTATGGAGTGGTTTGTAAAGAATCAACACTATCCAGATTCAAGTAGTTTATGCAAATTCTGTGAATCGTATTAATATCAAAAATACGAAATTCCATTTTTAAAACCCGTTGTTACAGATTAAACTTTTCTTAATATCCTTTGTATGGCATCTTTGATTGGCGTGGCAGTTTCTGTTGTTTGCTAAAAATATATATTTTTTTTTCGGGCATCATTTGCGATATTTTCTTTTCTCTACGTTAAACTGTTACCTACGCTATGTTGCATTTCTCTATGTTAAGTTCATAATTTAAAAGCCGAAGTAAAAAGGCGTGCGTAAAAGAATTCGCAGGCTAATAGAATGTTAACTGTTTTACACTCACATTTAGACGTAAATGAGTTACGCCTCTAATCTTGACTCTTAATATTGGAAAACGAAAAATTTTTTGCAGCAAAACATATTTTGTAAAATAATAAAAAAGTAAAATAAAACTGGTTGTCAATCGAAAATCTATTTTAATTACCAATTAAACGCATCAAATTAATGTAAGGACTAATTTTAAATTTTCAACTCATTTTCTTGTCTACGTTTGTCTTGCAGTTCAACAGCCCCATTAAGCTAAATTATTATTTTTTATTTATTTTTACTTTAAAATATTTTCTTTACTGTTTCAGATCTGTGTGTTTTTTTAACTTAAAGAAATTTATGACGATTATAATTCATTTCCTTTTAGTGAAAGAATAAATTTCATTACCTCACACTTTAATTGTAAACAAATACTGGCAAATAAGTGCATAAGTACGTAGTTTGATTTCAACAAAATTGCATTTTAATATGCTACAAAAGTGTTATGGACTCAATCAGCATATTTCTTTATTTAAAACTTTAGCATAAGTTGTAAGAAAAAAAGTAAATTGAAAAGAACTGAAGACTTCGAATACTTTTTGATTTGATGATGTTCTCTTCACTTACTAGAGCTCAATCTTAATGATTTAATTGAGTGTCCTCAAATATGCAAATTAATTAACGCGGACAAAGTTTTAAGTTACAGAATCGGATACACAAATGCATTTTCTCAAAATAAACTTTTTTCGACGGATTTGGATTTCTGACTCTCAAAATAGGGTGGCTAGGATAAGTGAATGGTTAACTAGGAGAAGTGTTTGGACCATTTATAGAAAATCTTGCTTTTTGTGTATTTTCACATATCGAGAGAGCTTTTTTCGAAACTTTCGAATGGATCGAAAACTTATGCTCACAATTATAAATATCGTTCGTCAAAATATAATTAAATGTAAAAAATAACTATTAATGATCATTCAATATTTTTTATTAGTTTATTTAACAATAGTTGAAGAAATTTTCAATTTCAAAGTATAAAAATTTTCAATTCATTTTAAAGAATGTAATTTTCTGTTTCAAAATATAACATTTGACTGAAATCGACGGAGTAGTTCCTAAGAAATTAAATTTTAAACGAATTTGTAGATTTCAAACTCGATTTCTCAGGATCTATTCAACCGATTTCCTTGAAATTTTACATTTTGTCTTGTGAAATTACATTTTTTAAAGTAAAGTAAAAACTTAGATAATTTACAATTCAAAACCTACTTTTCATTATTATTAAATCAAATACAAATAATAATAACAAACAATTAATTATCATTAAAAAATTTTTCATGGAAATTACCTTTGGATAAACAAATTTTATAATTGAGTAAAAAAAAAATTTCGTTTCGCTTAAAAGATGCAACGAAATGCGCAAAAAGTAAAATTAACATTAAGGAGTCCAAATCACTCCCCTGACCAAACTATTGGGAAGTTACAATATTTCCCAGACTGCGGCCACTCCCATTATTTTGAGGAACAAGAAT